GAGTCGGTGAGCACAGGGGACTGGCAGGTGCTGGTGCAAACACACACACACACATATATACACACACACACACACATACACACACACACACACACACATATATACACACACACACACAGGATGCTCTCTTCCCAAAATAGCCCCACGCTGAAAACCAAACGGGAATAGTTTTGGGGAGGGGGGTTTTTGTGCTCCGACAGTATGTCTCTTTTCATAGAGCTGCATGGGGGGGTCAGATGAGCTGAGTCTGGGGGTGCAGGGATGTTTTTCTAGCTGGGGTCATGTGACACGTGATGGATTGTGGGTCATTCAGTCCCAGAACAGAACAAACAGGCACCAGCGCAAACTGGGAAAGTGTCAAACTGGAAGCTGTCTCTATAAAAACAGGGAGGGGGGGGGTTAAGAGTTGAATTTCCCCAGCAGTGGACAGGGACCTTGGAGTGTTTGTGTCAGATATTACAACGTGACGTGTAACAGACATTTATTATCGATCTCCCCCGGAAGGGGCAAGCTGTCAGACTGCCTGCCGTATGCAGTACCCCGAGCTTACAGTGACAGGCGGTGGCCTCAAGCGTCACGGGTCACTTTCGGATATCTGTCGGCCCGGTCGATGAGTCAGCAATCCGCGCTAACGATGTGTCGGGGTCATGTCGGGGTTAATGAACCTGTTCTAATGAAGTATGTTAAACACACATTTATTAGTCTCGGACGTGCGTAAGGTCTGGTGTGGTGGGTCAGGGTTTTGCATCATTTTGCTCCACCTCAAGAAGATTCTGTGCAGTCTGTGAGATTAGATCAAATGCCTCGCTGGTGTAACAGTCAGGGATTAGAACCTGCAACCCTATGGTCATGAAACCTGGCAGAGACGACCCGAGTGACGACAAGTATTAAATATTGCCATTTGTTTTCTGTGTGGGAGCTCAGCACTGCAGACTCAGATCTCCGGGGGTTGTGGGTTCAAATCCTATTTGTGGTCCTTTAAGGTTTTCGTCCTGCAGATGTGTGTCCTGTGATGGACTGGTGTCCCCCGTCCTTCTTGGACAGGCCCCAAGCTCACTCCGACATCTGAGAGACGTGAGATTGGGCACCTTCGCGAGCCGCTGGGCCAGGCGATGGGCGTGACGCAGCAACTACATGCGGCGTGTGAGGGTGTTCAGCAGCCTCCGGTCTGGGGGGGGGGCGTCGTGCTGCGGGGCTTAGCATGTAAAACACAACAGGAAGACGAGACGGGGCAGCGGGTCGGATTATCGCTATGAGGACAGGAGATGCTTGGCAGGGAGGGGACCTCTGGTGGGGTGGGGTTATGTCACAGTGAACACACACACACACACACACACACACACACACACACAGGGTATGCAAATACTCTCTGCTACCTGTGGACCCCAAAATAAGACCTGTATCTTCGGCCACAATTCTGAAAGTTCACGTGATGATGATGATGATGGTGATGAAGGTGGGTGCCTGGTCCGCACCGGGAAGGTGTTTTAGGGGTCACTGCCTGGAATAGTTGGCCATGCGTCACAGTGCCTGCAGAGCGGGGTGCCAAACGTGTGCTTCCGTCCGGCGTGCCAGAGCCCCGCCTTCCCCGCTGGCACGGGGGACGGGACGCGCCGGTCCCCTCCAAAGCCCAAGCGTGACTCAGAGCGTCCTGCCAGATGCTTGTCTCGGACGCTGCGTCCCCCCGCTGAGTGCCTGCCCCGGGTTAAACGCCCCCTTCTGGCTGATGTCGGCCGGGGGTGTGAGCCAAGTGCGTCGACTTCACGCCAGAGACGATAAGCTCCCCACAGTTTCCACGGCAGCGTGATGTCAACGTCGACGCTAACTGTCTCTCTCTCCTTGGTCCCAGGAACCTTGGGAAATCTGGCCTGCGTGTGTCCTGCCTTGGCCTGGGTGAGTATGCACTGCAGCGCCACCTGGAGGCAAGAGCACAGTCTTAGGTGCCCATTCACCTGCACTGATGAAACTCTTGCTGTATTTTATTCTTCAGATTGATCGTGATTCCACATTCTTATCCCACTTTTACTCCACCTTTACCCCACTTTTACTCCAGCTTTACCCCACATTTGCTCCACCTTTACTCCATATTTCCTCCACTTTTACCACACCTGTATCCCACCTTTGCCTGTAGCCCACATTTACCCTCAACTCTCAATCTCTGTCTTCTCAGGGACCTGGGTGACCTTTGGATCACAGATCTCGGACGAGGTGAGCCAATCGGAACGGAGTGTGTGACCCTGTCAGTTCTGGGTGTCGAACCTGATAAGCCCCTCCCTGGCTTTCTGAATTTACCGTGCCCCCCCCCACCTACCAGATGGCTGAGAACCTGATGACCATCGCCTACGAGAATGGCATCAACCTTTTCGACACGGCAGAGGTGTACGCCTCCGGAAGGTGCGTCTGTCCATTTACGCGCCCCCCCCCCCCCCCCCCCACATCCTGTCAAAACCAAGCCGGCAAATAGGACGAACGCTAACGCGGGATTCCTGTCGCCGTGACAACCCTGTCGCGGCACATGCACCGATATCTCGGCCCCAGTAAACACGCACCGAGAGAGCGTCAAAGGGCCGGGCCGGACGCACCGACTGCGTCGCCTCTCATTATAAAAGCTGCCTCCCTGTGTCTCTCCTCAGAGCTGAGATCACCCTGGGCAACATCATCAGGAAGAAAGGATGGAGGTGACGACTCTCCCCAATTACCGCCGTGACCGACTCGTGTGCCTTCACCGCCCGTTCGCATCCGATCGCATCCGCGGCTCCTCCGTTTTCCGGATGCGGCAAACGGCCGCTGCCGCTCGCTGCAATGCAAGCGAGTCATTAGGCTGGTGTGCAGGGGAATAACTGTCCCGCCTCCCCCCCCCCCCCACCCCCCCCCCCAATCTGTCTCACAGGCGCTCCAGTTTCGTGGTGACCACCAAAATCTACTGGGGAGGACAGTAAGTGTCTGCCACGTTTCAACCTGGACCTCCACACTGTACGGTTTGTGGGGCCTAAGACCAGAGTATTATGGGATATAACAGGCATGGCTGGTGGGGTACAGCGGCCAGGTCTGACACGGGACAGTCAAGGAAACTGTGGATTGAAATACAGGGAATGCAAAGAAAACTTCTGGTTTGATCACTTTTCCTAAGAAGCAACATTTTCTCCTATTATTCCTGGAAAATGTATATAAAAAAAAAACACAGATAAAAAGTGAGATCTAGTTCATCTTGATAAAATACACGCCCGGAAGGACCCCGATTTCACAAGGGTTAGGGGTCCTGACTGTGGAGGTCTTTGTTTGCTTGGCTGACTGTGCCCATGTTGACCTGCAGGGCGGAGACAGAGAGGGGGCTCTCCAGGAAGCACATCATAGAAGGTAGGGGGGGCCAGAATGTTTGACTGATCATCATCATCATCATCGTCATGCAGTCCTGGGACTTTCTTTAGCATAAATCCATTCGATGTGATGAACGTTTGCACCTGGAACCCATAAAGAACGTTCCTGCCACGTTGAATTAACGTTGTGATATCATTAGTGCATGGTCTGGTGTTCTGGAGCCAAAAAGGCCGCAGTTTCCACACCTGGTGGGGGGGGGGTGGGTGGCGTTGTTGTACCTTTGAACACCTTGTTAACCTTAAGCACATGATTGGCTGTCTTGCTGTATATATGCTGTGTGCGGCATGTGGACAGAAGGGAGGTAAGCAGGAAGAGCAGGCCCCCCTGCCAGTCCCGCCTTCCACTCTGCCAAATCTCATCTTCATTTTCATTCCCCCTTCATCACCCCCCCTCGTGAGTGTGATTGCAGGGATTAAAGGCCTTTGTCCGCGCACGCACAAGGCTCAACATGGAGCCCCCTCCCGGGACTGTGACCCAGTTAGAGCCCCTCCACCCCCCCCCCCGCACCAACTCGCTGAGCGTTGCCCTGTGTACACCGTGTGGACCTTTGCGTGTGCGTGGGTGTGTGGGCGCGTGTGTCATGCAGCACCTGTCGTCAGACACCCCAGTGTTTCTGCAGGACCAGAACAAATTGGCTCGTGTCGGAACATGTATCGTGGGGCACAGCTGGCTGCCGGGGTGGCGGGGGGGGCTCTGCTCTACACTGCCACCTGGTGGCGGGCCGGAGGAACAACAGAACATGATCATAAATAGGGACGTTATTAACATTGTGGATGCCACTGATGGCCACGGTGACCCCAGTGTTGTTGTGATGTCATCACTGGCTCAGGTTTGCGGGGGTCCTTGTCCAGATTGCAGCTGGAGTACGTGGACATTGTCTTCGCCAACCGCACTGACGTCAATAGCCCCATGGAAGGTCAGTACCCATGTACGCCATTCCATTAACTGCGCGCTTGTGGCCTGTGCCCTTCTCTGTGCCCTTCTCTGTGCCCCGTGTGTCAGCTACCGTGTATGTGTGCGTTGCAGAGGTGGTACGTGCCATGACCTTCGTGATCAACCAGGGCATGGCCATGTACTGGGGCACCTCTCGCTGGAGCGCCATGGAGATCATGGTGAGCCCGCGGGCCTCCTGCCCGACCCGGCTGCTGCCACCTTCCGCAAACCTCTGCCCCATTTTAATCAAGCGAAGCCACGAGACGCGGCTTAGAATAGCGCAGACAGCGGAACGGCGGTAGATCGACATGCGCGGGGTTTACTACCAACATGCAGGTGGAGTCATGCGTTACATATTTAGTCCAGTAACGGTGAACCTATGAAGGAGACTATAGTGTACAGCTCAGCTGCGTTTACCACCACTCAAACTACATTTGTGTGGGGGCCCCCTATTGGCCACAACCAGTCACTACACTCAACATTAAATAATCCCTTATTTAGATGTTGAAACAGCATGTTCTGCTAACAAGCTAGCTAGTTATGATCTTCTAGCTCTACTTGCTAGCTATTTATTTAATTTTTGCAACATCTACGGGGGTGACTTTTCGAGTAGGTCCCCAGAAAGAACAAACTTGTCCCTGCCAGTAACAGCCACCATACATAGTTACCCTTTAACGATTTGGTCCGTCAACCTTACTGCATTACTGCGTTTTGGTCTTCCCGCCACCAGGAGGCGTACTCTGTGGCCCGTCAGTTCAACCTGATCCCACCCGTGTGCGAGCAGGCGGAGTACCACTACTTCCAGAGGGATAAAGTGGAGGTCCAGCTGCCTGAGCTCTACCACAAGATCGGTCAGTCATTCAAGCCCGCTGCTGTTGATCCTTAGTCGTGGTGACATGCTGGAACGCGACAGCGCCGTCCTCACCAGTAGCCCACCGGTACAGGAGGCCAGAGAAGCTTCTGGAATCAGTTTCAGAGAAATCGCATTAATCACTAAATGAGATCAGTCATTAAGCTTAATTACAGCAGCTCCCCCCGTGCCCTGGGTCTGTCTCACTGACTTAGCGAGAGCGGCGCAGTAACTCAGCCCGATTGTCTCTCCGAATCCCGCCCGCCGGGACTCGCTTCCGACCGGTGAGCACCGGCGCATTCACGGAAACAGTTACCATAGCGATATCTGCAGTCTAAACCCAATCCAGAGGCCCCCCTCCCCCCCCCTTTATAATTTCTCGGCGTTTCGACTGTAGGGCACTTTCAACGACTCCAACACCGAAATACTGCACAGCGTTTAAGGGGCCTGATTTGCTGGCGAGCATCTCGGCACCGAGAGAAGACAGCTGTCCAATGCTGAGGCCGATCTGCCCCTCAGATGTGGACTCCAGGTTCTGCCATGTGGTGGCGATATTGCATGTACCCTGCAATAGACCACCACCCTTTTCAGGATGTACCCTGGCATTTCACGCAGTGCATTATGGGATATGCTGCAGGCTCACCGTGATCTGTACCGCATGTGGAAGACGGGTCAATGGCGGCTCGGGAAAATACCCGAGACTGGCTTTCTTTTCTTTGTTTAATTTTTCTGTAATTACTTTTCTTAGTAACTGTAGAAATAATTGAAGACTCCGTGGAGCAGGATTATTTATGACAAGGCGGAGGGTTAAATGATGGGAAATGTGCTAATCTGTTTGTTTTTGCGAAAAGGGGAAAAAAAAGGGCGATTCTGCCCCGTAAAGGTATTTCAGAAACATCTCAAAATCAGAATCGGAAAAGCTTATTAATCCCAGAGGAAATCGTTTATAGACCAGGATACAAAAAAGTACAATGAACAGTATAAAAATATATAGATGAGTAAAATGGATTTAAATAGATTTCAATGGATTTAAATTAAATACTACAACATATGTGAAGATGAGTCAAGGCAGAAGTATCCATATCTATATATTGCACATGGTAGTATTTTACCGGGCATGATGTTTGCCTAGGTTAATGACTGGTTGCTATGTCCTGACTGGAAATGCCGGCCCCTTAATCACTCCGAGCAGAATTCCAGGCTGCATCCGGTGTGGATTCAATTCGATGGCAAACGCGCGGGGCTGTCTGACCCACGCAGCTCGTGGCAGTATGAAGGGTGCAGGCGGGCTGCAAGGATGCGATATAGTCCGACGTCGATTTTATTAAGTGGGTTACCCGAGGTGGCGGGGGGGGGGGAGGGAGGTTAGGATCAATCACCATGGTAACAGGGGAGCTCATCCATACACAGCCCTGTACCACTACTCAGCACCAAGAAGCAGTACAGCCCCACATCTATCAAATAAGCACACTGAAATATAGCACAGTAACAGAAATATAGTACAGTAACATAAATATGGTACAGTAACAAATGTAGTATAGTAATATAGCAGTGGTAATTAAGAATAGAAAACTTAGTTTTAATGAAATGCATTCATATATTATTGTGTTATTATAATTTTTGTTATTAACATTGATAAATATTAGCATAATTAAGATTCAAGATTCTGGATTATTTGTCTTGGCCACGTCAGTGCGTATTAATCCTTATTTGCACCATCCGGTCAGTAGCATATAGGATTAGACAGCACAAAACAAGATAAAGGCACTGATGGACATCAAAGCGGTGACACGATTAGGTACTGCAGAGGTGTCTGTGTGATAAATATGAAAATAAATAGAACGGCAGAAACAGAAGATGTGGTTAAATAAATTACATAAATGCAAGATTAATGAAAGATGTGGTTGAAATAGAAAATAAGGAAAATTGCAAAGTGTATTATAAATTATAATCCTGAAATATATTATTCACAGTAAGAATTAAACAGGAAGTATATGGTGTTTCTTTAAGGTGTTTTTATGTGTGTGTGTGTGTGTGTGTGTGTGTGTGTGTGTGTGGCAGGTGTGGGAGCGATGACCTGGTCTCCCCTGGCCTGTGGACTCATCACAGGAAAGTACAACGACGGCGTCCCCGACAGCTCACGGGCCGCCATGAAGGTAAGAGGCCCATCAGCGCCCCCTGGGGGCTCCGTAAGATGAGTGTCAGGCCGCACTTCATCTGTAGGTGCGGAGCTCAGCTTTGCCGGTCCATAGTAGCACCCTCAGTACTTTCGGGCTTCAGGATAAATCATTACGGCGGATTCCCACAGTCAGAAAGCCTCTTTGCTGTCAGCGGAAACACATTCTGCTGGCTTGCATGAATTAATGGGAAGCGCACTTTGCGGAGACATTGTTTAGTACTGTAATTATACCGATTATTCATTTGCTGACTGGAACCGAAGGCACTTTTGAGTACAGCAAAGCATGTAAGCGGCTCCTCTGGTCCTTTTAATGCACATTCGTTACACCATAATTTATCTGTTGGGCTTTATTGTTATTATTGTATGCGTTCGTGTGAGGAAGGGCTGTGTGCTCTTAAAGAGAGTGTGACGATTCCTAGGGATACCAGTGGCTGAAGGAGAGGGTTAGCAGCGAGGAAGGGCGCAGGCAGCTGGCGAAGATCAAAGAGCTCCACCTGCTGGCCGACCGGTTGGGCTGCACTGCTGCTCAACTGGCTATTGGTACATTACTGAGTGTGTTTCCATGCTTGGATGTGTATGTGGGGTCTAGTTTGAAATGTTAGCGACATTTTGCTTGTGTGGGTGTGCAGCTTGAATCTATATATTTTGTTAGACTTTGTAGTAGGTGTGTCACCTCCGTTGTGCCGTTTCATCTGGCAGCTTGGTGCCTGCGCAGCGAGGGAGTCAGTTCTGTGTTGCTGGGCGTCTCCAGCACGGACCAGTTGGTGGAGAACCTGGGCTCCCTACGGGTACTGACCAATTACACCTTACTGTTTGGAGGGAGAGAGAGGAGGAGTGAGAGAGAGGGAGAAAGCGAGAGAGAGGGAGGGAGGGAGAGATGGAGGGAGAGAGCGAGGGAGAGAGTGAAGGACAGAGAGAGTGAGGGAGAGAGACAGAGGGAGGGAGGGAGAGGGGGACAGAGATGGAGGGAGGGAAAGAGAGAGAGGGAGGGAGAGATGGAGGGAGAGAGCAAGGGAGAGAGTGAAGGACAGAGAGAGTGAGGGAGAGAGACAGAAGGAGGGAGAGAGAGGGGGACAGAGATGGAGGGAGGGAAAGAGAGAGAGGGAGGGAGAGATGGAGGGAGAGAGCGAGGGAGAGAGTGAAGGACAGAGAGAGTGAGGGAGAGAGACAGAGGGAGGGAGTGAGAGGGGGACAGAGATGAAGGGAGGGAAAGAGAGAGAGGGAGAGAGACGGCGGGGGAGAGAGAGGGAGGGAGAGATGGAGGGAGGGAGGGAGAGAGAGCAAGGGAGAGAGGGAGAGAAAGCGAGGCAGTGGGAGAGAGTGAGGGAGAGAGAGAGCAAGGGAGAGAGAAAGAGGGAGTGAGAGAGTGAGGGACAGACAGACAGACAGACAGACAGACAGACAAGATAAGATAAGATAAGATAAGATAAGATAAGATAAGATAAGATAAGATAAGACTTTATTGATCCTGGGGGAAATTCTTGTGCACACAGCAGCGAGGTACATCAAGATCAAACAAACAAACATGGAGTGTAAAACAAGACAAAGTGCAAAGACAGTGTAACCACAGGTAAACTGTGCAAACAAAAGCAAGTACAGTGTATAAACAAACAGAACACCCCGAAAATGAGTATTTAGGGAATAAATTATATAAATTAAGGGATGATGTATGTGCAATTAAAAGATTGACAGGCAGGCAGGCAGACAGACAATCAGACAGACCATTACAGTGTACTGACGTAAGTCCTTCTGGACCTCCTGCGATCGGAGCGGAGCAGAAGGAGCTCAAATATACTGTATAAGATACAAAATCACACACGTCTATCTAAACCACTGCAGTGAAAGTGCAGCCGCTGTGTTCTGGCTCTTGCCACATGCCGCACACGTGGTGAAATACATCGGCTCACATGCACGACATTTCCTTCAGACGTCTCGCGACGAACTTCGTTAAGGCTCTCACGGGCCCTTGGATGCAAGTCGATGGCCGACTGCATCGTGAATTTGTGACTGATACCTTCTTATGGGCTGGTTAGCGCCAGTGACTGAAACATTCACCGATCAGCACTGCTGAGTTAGCGTGCGCCACCTAGCGCTGTACAGTAACCCGCCTCCCCTGCGATAAACCGCAGTAGCTGTACGTCAGACTCGCAGGCCGCGAATTCACCTACTGGATAATGGAGGTATTATGCGGTTGCCTCTCGGTTAGTCTCAAACACGAATGACTGACTCCGTTTCCCTCTGGCTTTCTGTCCGTCTCCCAGGTGCTTTCTCAGATGACCCCTCAGACATTGAGTGAGATGGACTCTCTCCTGGGAAACAAACCTCATTCCAAGAAGGAGTCGCGTGCGTGAGGAGGCCCAGAGGCACACAGGAGGGAGCGAGAGAGAGAGAGAGAGAGGACGCCGAGGGGGGGGGGGTATCCACGTCGCTTTTTAAGCCCCTCTGAGTAGCGCTTGCCTTGCATGTGTTTTCGAAACCACGCTTCCTATAGAGTACTGCACCCCACGCACCCACCTCTGCACGCCAGCGGGCAGGAAGACCTGCGCACGCTCGGCCACCCATCACCTGGAAGTCCTGGGTTTTTGGGAGAGAAAGTACCGGAATCGGGATGTTTGGCAGTAACAAGGAACCCTGGAATGTTCCGGAGGCTCAGCCTTATGCACCCACCTGGAATGGCCGAAATGGTCTGGGGGTGGTGGTGGGGG